TCTTTCAATTAATTTCAGTGTCTGGATTTTAAAGCATTCAATTGAGAGACATGCCTTGAAGACTTTTATTGAGTGCCATCACAAAGTGACTCAAAGAAGAGTAACCCTTGACATGTAACTAGGAGATGATATAGGTACATGGAGGTGATACCCCATGGTCCACTCTGCTTCTCTCCTGTAAAGCCCAACACTGTTAGAAGGGACAGGCATTTTCTGCAGGTCATAGGTTACCTTGTAGCTCCTTTCCTGGCTTAGTAGGATTTCATGTAATACTCTTCTTAGCAAGTTTATGTGCATGTGTCACATTATTCTGTTTCAATACATGTCTTATAATATTTTTTGTTGAAAACCTGGGCATTTTAGATAATATCTTATAGAAACTGACTTCTGACCTGCCCAGGGGGACTGTTGCTGTGGTTCTGGGTATTTGTTTATTTTTTTTACTGTCTTGCCTGGAGTAATTTTGTGGAATCTGTCTGCCCTGCACTGTGTAGTGGCTGATGTCTCTGCTCAGGTTTTATTTTTACTTTTTAAAAAATTTTTAACTGTGGCTTCCTAAGTATCACATTGGGGTCAGCATAGATCAGTGTTCTCAACTGGAAACAATTTTGACCTCCCAGGGGGCACTTGGCAATGTCTAGAGACTTTCAGTTGTCCATAGGGTCAAGGTTGAGACTAACCCTGGTAGAGCTTAGTGGCCAATCAACAAATAGTAAGAGGTTATGCTTAAAAACTTTAAGCCTTGCCTCCAGATCTGTGTGTGGATTGGGGCACACATTCAAAGTTTAAGCTGTTTATAAGTTTGCCCTGATGTCTCCTTCGTGCCTGCACAAGGCCTCACATTATTCCAGGGACATGTATATAACTAGGGCCCTTTCCAGTATCTCTCTTCAGTGTGCACACAGCCCCACATATGTGCACAGCGTTACTGAATACGAGGGGGTATGAGGGGGCTTTCCAAGTCCCACTATAGTTGCTTCATTCCCTTGATACCCTTGTTAAATTTTAAGCTGCTCTGCTGGTCTGCGGCTTGCTCCAACAAGCATGCCTTCCCTGATTGTTTTCAACACCCAGGGGCATGGAGTTTTTATGTGCTCTGTTCCAAATCAAGTTAGTCCCCTTTAGCAGCAAAGCTGCTGGTTTTCTTGGCTTGCCCCT